AGTAAAAGATAAGTGAATACACCCAATTAAGGCTATTCAATCAGCGATGATCATTGATAAAACAGTTGATATACATATTACTTCACCATTAACATCATCTTACCACACTAACTACATTAAAATTCGATGACTAAAGTTTCAATGTGCTCGAACAAGAAAATTCTCTCGATAATGGTCTGAGTTTGTATGAAGTAAGTGAATGAGTAAAGAATAAAAACTGTTATAGTTTGAAATTTTTCATCATAAATCACTTGCAATTATTCTTAATATTATCGTTAAATGTAGATTTGGTTCAAGTATTTTTTCTTATATCAGCTTGTTAAATAGTTTAACAGATGTAATAAATTAGTTTAGTATACTATTGTCTCAGATTTGATGTAGGTTGTAAGGACGGCTCGTCGGTAGACTCTAGGAAGCCTTAAGAAGCCCAGGAAGAGCAGAAGACATTCCATCCAATCACTGCTAGGGGAATATTCTAGAATGTCGACGTGTAGCTTCCCCATTGGATGGATAATAATGACCCTTATTCGCTTATTGGTTGTCTGAAATGATGATTTACTCTCAGTCAAAAAACGATAAATACACGAGATTTCCGTACTATATTTTGACACTTTTTTGGGAATAAAAGTCCCTACTTACTAGTCTTTCTCTTCTCTCTTTGCGACGTTGCGGGTTCTATCGTTCAAGTAGTCTAGTAGTACGCGGCATAGTAAGAAGCAAGGCTCTAGATATAACATAGGTTTTATTTAACTCCTTAATAAAATGTTAACTGCTTGTTAAACCGTTGAATAAATGACAAACGCCGTTCATGAACACTATGTGCTACTCTTATAAAGCATTATTATACACTACAGTCAAACTAAAGTAAAATATCCCTACTTAGAACTTAAAGACTCAATTACTTGAGTTCAAAAACATGAACCCATGGATAATGACTAAGTGGTCTGAATGTTAAACGCTCAAAGTGGGACTTTACGTTACCACGTTAGAACCTCGGTGAGATAATGGATTCAAACTAATACTCATCCCATACTAGCTTTCAATGCTCTCTAATTTTCAATGGCTATTCAGTACAGATCATTTATCTATGTAAAATATAAGAGTGAAAAAGTTCCACAAACCATCAGATTAGTTTATTGTGAATACCTTCAAGTATGGTATTAAATTACATCCATGAGTTGTCATGCTCATGAACTGGCAGCTAATATGTACATAATACTTCTAGATATTATAAGCACTACAAATACAAGTTTGATTCTATTTTATTCATAAAATATGTTGGCTAAAACATGAGCAAAGTCGTATTGAGTGATTTATTTAGTGTTTCAACAAAAAGCGTGAGACCAAAGTGAGGATTTGTGAAGATTGTAATAATTTTAACAATCGAATTCATTAGTCGAACTAAGCTAGATCAACAATGGGATGGCTGTTTCGTTCTAGTATGAGATTCCTCAGCAGTTCTCACCCACGACCTGCCTGCGCGGAACTCGAACCCAAGACCTCTAGTCTCGATAGCGAATGCTTAACCTCTGGACAACTGAGACAGCATCTAACGGTGTAAATTTATAACTTCAATCGATCCATGATCTTAGACAACCCTTCATCCATATTCTGGGGGTGGAAAACTATCTCACACACGATGCGGATTAGACTCTACTGGCCACAGCTTCTCACAAGAACTCTAGGATTTAAACCTTGAAGTTAGTCACTAGTGAGCACATGGATGCGCACTGCTTAGGAGTCCCATAGTAGGACGAAACAGCTGTCTAGTGCTTTCAATGTTGGTCTAGCTTAGATCGACTCATGAATTCAATTGTTAAAAAGACCTAGTTTGGCATGTCAACTGCAAAGATTGTTTAATTGAAAAGTACATTATTCATTTTAAATACATCAGATTGTTAGCAAAAGTGTTAGATTTCACTAATCTCAGTGAAACTAACAGAATCTAGTCGATGCATTTTTGTATCATTCGCTTCTGCAAATTAAGAAAAGCTATAACTAAGTTATTCTTATGAAGATATAATACTTACGTCTTGAGGAGCTAACTCAAATGCTGAGTTCGCCAGAATTCCGATTTTTCTACAGGTAGAGATGTACATATATGAGTATTTGTGTATTTTATTCGGTAGTCCACTCTTATGTTCTCGCTCAAGTAGTCACGTGGTGAGAGAGATAGTGTGTCGCACGTCAAGTACCAATATCAGATTTTGGACACCACCCATCATAACAAACACTATCAGAATGTTTGGTTCCAATGATAAAAAATAACTATTATCATTCAGTCTAACTATCAATGCTGACGAAATCCTACTAGTTCAGTTACCAAGTAATTCAATGACAGAATCCACTGTTTTTTAGTTAGAGGATCAGGCAGGATCATAAAATAGAAATTACTCTCGACTAGTTGACTTAACAAATCGATATATTGCATCATAACATTACACGGCCCAATGTTTCATCTAAGGATCATCAAGAGGCATTACGAAACTTAGTATATAATCAAAATATTGTCATTCTCCAATGTGATAGGGACTATGCGGTCTTTACGATGGATAGGAAAACTTATGTAGATAAAGTTAGGATTGTTGTGGATGACTCATCCAAGTTTCCGATCGATTGTTCAAAAAATATATTTGAAGACATGTTACGAAGATAAAGATGGACAGGAATTGATCATAGTCAAAGTTGGCTGCGTCGTAATTGTGGATGAAAACAAAGTTTGCTACCGTCCTTAAAAGCTTTCGTCTCCAGAACTTGGCTGCAAGAGTGAGAAAGCTAGAATGATTAATTCCCGATTAAAAGCTACGTTGAAAAATCGGTGCTCAGCAGTTCAGCCGCTCCAACTCTGGGACAGTCGACCCTGGGTCACTTTCCAAACCATCTTACCTGATATTGCGTCTGCTGGTTCACACGTACATGATAAAGCATTTAGGTTGGAAAAACAAAATGAGAAATATTATTTGCATCTCTGAGGACGTTCCAGAGAAATCGAGATTGAAAGGAAGATATGTCCTCGGCATTGTTTGGTACTGAACACGTTTTAAATCGTTTCAACATAATCAATGGGTTAACGACTTTAAAATTATTGCACTTTTCTAAAGCCACTACTATCAGAAGATTCAAGTCAAACAAATCCATCTCTAAAAGGATACTGTAATCAATATTACTTAGCGCCTGTGAAGTATAATAATAATGTGACGGATAATATCGTATATTATATCCTTAACCACGTTTCTTTTCTCTGATTTCTTATTTGAAACTTACTCAACTAACCAATTTTTTCCGTATTTAGTATTGAATAACCTATCAGACTAATTTTACATTTCTGTCCATGAGCTGTCTTCTCGTCAGGAATGTTTCTAGAATTGATCTTTGAATTATTCTTTTAGTCGTTCCACGTTTATTTAATTTTTTTTTACAAGCTACCATTTGCGTCAACTGTAACCTTAATAAAGACTTCCCTTTGAATACAGTATAAAGTATGTACACTTATTTATTCCTAATATTATTGTCTCTAGGATATAAGTAGATGAAGGGGATTCAAAAAATTAATGAATTCATATTCTTTGGCTACGATTAGTTTTCATGTTATACAAGAACTTATAAAGCAAAGAAACTATATATACATATATCTTCAGTAAAGTTTGAAAATGTACTTAACCTTACATTGGATGACGTTGTATTGTAGTGAACAAGAAAACGAGTGGGGACAATCGAATGTATCTGAGCACAAAATTACAGAATATCTCACTAAAATCTGACAACCGTATAGTAAACAGTTAATTTAAAAACTATCAATCCGTTGTCTCAATCTTGACCGTCCCTTCTGCAAATATCAGTCCATAGTCTTCGATTATTATTGTTCATGCATTTTCATACCAATTCCGTCCCGTTCTCTCTTTATCAATTTTCTACTCAAATAAATTCAATGCCCGACCATAATTATATACTACTTATGTGGATATAAGTAACCCACATCATAGTATCAGCTATTCACGTAACGCTTCAGCTCAGTAATAATTATGTTTTGTTAAAAATCGTTTAGATAAACATTGGGTCTGTATACGTAACACGTGATAACGTAAACACTTACAATACTATTCTCGAGTGAGAGACTTCATATCATATAATCAAAAAATATGAGTACTTAGTCTGAATATAAAGTGATCTCTTAATTTGATTTTGCTGGAGTAGAGTGCAACTGATGGGATGCCTCGTATGACATATCTAAGAGATACTTACATGGATAAGAATTTAACAAGTTGTTCGATAACTCACATCATTCACTTGTAGCTTACACCTAACCTTGAAATAGTTTCATCATTTTCAGATGACACCTTAGAGATCCAATATATTAATATCGTTCAAGCTCAGTGATCGTTTTTCGCAAGAACAAACTAGAAGTCATTGGTCGAAATTGCCTTATCAATAGTAAGCTATAAATTTTGGCTGAATAATTGAACTGACTGGTGTAAATACTGATAAAGAAATGATATTAAATATCAAACTATGGACTAAAAGAATGAAATTGATTTGTTTGACTATTATAATTCACTTTAATAGGCGATCTTTGACAAATACATCTAAAAAAGTGTTAGTAGATTATGCTTCCTGAAACATTTACACTTTTGCTTTCACTTAAAACAGAAGACAAGTATTAATCCTAGATTTTACGATGTGGATGTATATAGTTGAAAACTTATGGAAAATAAAAGTTCGATATAACTGCTCCTTTAGATTTCTATTTAATGGTTTTAAGCGCAGTCTACTAACTGTGTCCTTTCTTTCAAACTAGACTGTCAGAAGAATTAACAACTACTCACCGTTTCTGAAGTTTTAAGAGAAGACAAAGGTCATCGACAAATTATCTTAGTCTTATGTCAATAAAGAACTAAAGATAATTGTCATATGTATATTTACAGAACAGTATGGTAAATTAAAATTAATTTATACAAAATAAAAATTATCAGAATAATTATGTCATTCAGTTATCCACATTTTCAAGGTCTGAAAAGATCCCTTGATGCCATACGACTTAAAATACTCTCAAGTAAAGATTTATGGGGATCATCGGATTTATCGATTAAACTTCGTTCTAATTTCGTTATTCCATATTCTTCACAGACTGTATCAATGTTCTTGACCAACTGTGACAATGAACCGGTAATCATTGTACCTTGGATTGTATTTTCAACTTGTGATAAGTAGGCTAGTAAAACTCCATCATATGGTTGATAAACATCTGTGGGATAAATGATCCCTACAATTAGTTCTTTAGTAGATGCTTTAAGTCCAAATGCATCCAGAGCATGAGTAATCGATCGGTTCGGACTAAGGCAATATAGAATCTCTGTAGCCAATCCTCGTGTATACATTCCACCCGAAGATTCATCGTTATAATGGATTAAAGCTTGGGTAACAGCAGCTTCTATCTAAAAGTATGGACATATAAAAAATCGTCATTAGATTGGTAAAGTTCATGAAAATCTAGGTCATAATTCAGATAAAAATACTGAACAATTAAGGTGATGATTTATTTTCATAAAGATCACCATCATAAAATGACATGAACGATTGTTTCACAGACTAGTAAATAAATAAAAATTCCGAAATCAATAAATGTATCAAGATGCTATAAGCTAACTGCATTCTCTGCTCAAATCAAATTAGGAGAATAATCACCTTCTAATGATTAAGTTACAGAACAGTCTACGGAAAATCACAAAAATGTAGGCCGTTACATACTTTTTACAACAATTTACTTCACAGACTGATCTTAGTTACACAACTATTGAAAATAGGAAGGTACTGGGGAGCTGTTTCGTCCTGGTATGAAGCTTCTCATCAGTGCCTGACCACTGAGCCGGCATCCGAAAGTCTACATTCTTAACTTCAATCAGTTTGCGACTTTACACAGGCATCTTCCAATGCCGTTGCTCGGTAAATGCCATACGTAATTTAACTCCACTGGTCATGACATTTTACAAGAACATCGGGAATCACCTCATACTTAGTCACGAACCTTGGAAACGAACAATAATGTTTATTGTTCACATGTTGAGATTTATCTTTAATATTATCATACATGACAAAAGCGATATCATTTAAAGAAAAACATACGTAACGTCATTCAATAATATTCGTTTGCATTATAGATTTGAGTGGTAAAATATAGAATGTTGGAACACTTTACGCTGAATTTGAAACTCTAGACATAAATGACAGTGAAGGAAAACTGAAACTAAATAAACAAAGTGATTGAAAAAAAGAACGGTGGAGCTCAAAACTATCATCTTATGAAGTGAAGTCGAATGATTAGATCATTAAATCCCAGATTCAACTTCATAATATTCACAACTAATAGTAAAAATTAATCGACAAGATGAACGATATGATAGTGAGACAATATTACTCACTACTATTAAATATATGGTAGATCAATCCCTAATAGCTGAAAATAATGTGTCGTTAAAAGTTTGACCAAGAACAAGACACAACAATTAGAACACCAATTTATAATGGATAAAGTTTAAAAGCAAACAAAAAATATACTTTACACAAATTCCCTGGTAGAAAATGATGAAATGCATATAAAGGTTAAAAAAATAAATGGAGATTAATAAACGGTACAAATAAGTACTACTGTATTATTTATTTGAAGAAAAATATGGTACATAGCCAACCTGAACTATATCGATGATGAAATCACTGCTAAAAAGAATAACGACGGCGTTTGAAAGGGAGGGAAATTGTTTTGAATGTATTTTTGTTTGGATATCATTGGCATTGTTAACATTACACCATAATGAGAAATGGAAACAGAATTTAGTATCCAAATTAAAATTTATTGTCCGCCAAACTGAATTCATTCTAAGCTGAAAATAATAAAACCCAAAAATTTTAAAATATTATCAATGAAAAATGTGACGAAATTATTGAAAAACACAGTATCATTAAAAACAAAAATTAGTGATAAACACGAAACGATCTAACAAACAGTAACTGTTTTCAGTGCCCAAAACCTAACCTAAACAATGCTCAATCATTAAATCGCTGATTATCTATCAAATACAAACACAAACCAATTATGAAAATGCAGTGGAAACGGAAACCACCAACAGCCTAACACACAAAAACCAACAACAGAATCCAAACACAAAAAAACACTAAAAATGAATTAACAACACATTATAAATCCAACAAACAGCATGTAGAAGATTAACACTCCTGTAATACACAATACAAACAAATCAACGTCAAACACAAATATCACCTTCATCATCCTCTATCCCTATCCCTCACTCTCTCTCTCTCTCTCCCAAACACACAACCTAAAGACTATCCACATTATGCAACACCACTTCAATTACTACGTGCAGATTGTACACAAAAATTCAACATATCATACACAAACACAACAAATGTGATATTCAATGAATGGACACCACTGACAGATAAGCAATAGTGGAATACTCGATGTTACACTACACAGTTTAGACAAAGATAAATTACTATCTCGACCTTCCGAGTGTGCTCACCAATAACAAACAATCAACAACACAAAACCACTCAGGCACATCCATATACACTTCACAAAGCACAGCATCAAATATTGTGATACCATATTCACACAACAAATTCAACAAACCACTACATCAAATTTATTACCAAATTAATGGACACCACCGACATAGATGTGACGGTGGAATACTCGATGTTGCACTACTCAGTTTAGCCAAAGATAAATTACTATCTCGACCTTCCGAGTGTGCTCACCAATAACAAACAATCAACAACACAAAACCACTCAGGCACATCCATATACACTTCACAAAGCACAGCATCAAATATTGTGATACCATATTCACACAACAAATTCAACAAACCACTACATCAAATTTATTACCAAATTAATGGACACCACCGACATAGATGTGACGGTGGAGTACTCGATGTTGCACTACTCAGTTTAGCCAAAGATAAATTACTATCTCGACCTCCGGAGTGTGCTCACTTACACTCGGCAAACAATCACACACATCCAGAACTCTTCAATACCATCAGTAAATAAATAAATAATCAAATATATATACATATATTATAAACCACAATTCCAACCAACAACTCATCATCAACACGAAACATCCTCCAGTCAAAGAAATATAACCGTGTACCGTCTCCGTCAAGAATGATAATGTCTATCGACTCAACGGTCAACTTATTCATTTAGTCCATCAGCGAATCCCACAGAATGTCTACTGAGGGTATTAGATTATGGACACGTCAATATGACAACCCATGGTCAACAAATTTCCAAACAACCAAACAGTATGCAGATCATTCAGGCCATCCAATAAACACAATTATCTATATTCATATATACATACGCTAAAATATTTTTTCTCATTTTGCAACACATCCACCAATGTATAAAGGGATAAGTTATCTATGCAGTGTCGAACACGTGAAGAAAAGTAGGTCGAAAGTAAACTCACTACGAACTCCTGTAAACGGCCAATCAAGTAAAACCGACTTACCACACCACTAAAGTCCCAACATTACTATCCTGACATAAAATCCGAGTGCGATACAACACACAAACACAATCTCTACTCGATTAGCCAATAACTACTTTACACAAAATCACCAACACCGTTAATCACTCACGTCCCGTGTAAAAAGGAACAAGTAACACTAACTATCAATATACTCCACATGCGAATACTATCGTCTGAAACGAAAACTACAGATGTCTCGATGGAAATCTACCACAACTAACACTGTCTACACACTACTCACAAATACTCTCATCACCACAGTCATCCTATTCCCCACTCACACTCCCACATCTTAACTGCACAACACAACCAGTCAATGTTACACGAGCATTTTACAAGACAAAATGACGCATCTGCACAACTAACATCACCAATATCACTAACATACAACATACACGACAACAACACTCTCCAATAATCACTACATTATTTAGCTCCACATCTACACATGAAGCAATCAAAAACACATATTAGTCAGACGTCTCTCCACAAAACACTCACACCACACTCCTCTGTCGACAGAACAACAATTAGATAAACGACCAGCTAACAGTTGATGTCGGTGATACACCACCTCAAAAAAATACAGTTTCTCCAACCCAACCATTATTAAGCAAAACAAAACAATCAGCTACTATTCACATTGTCCACAAACCACACTCATCACAAATCTGTGGAAGATTAACACTCCTTTAATACACAATACAAACAAATCAACGTCAAACACAAATATCACCTTCATCATCCTCTATCCCTATCCCTCACTCTCTCTCTCTCTCTCTCTCTCCCAAACACACAACCTAAAGACTATCCACATTATGCAACACCACTTCAATTACTACGTGCAGATTGTACACAAAAATTCAACATATCATACACAAACACAACAAATGTGATATTCAATGAATGGACACCACTGACAGATAAGCAATAGTGGAATACTCGATGTTACACTACACAGTTTAGACAAAGATAAATTACTATCTCGACCTTCCGAGTGTGCTCACCAATAACAAACAATCAACAACACAAAACCACTCAGGCACATCCATATACACTTCACAAAGCACAGCATCAAATATTGTGATACCATATTCACACAACAAATTCAACAAACCACTACATCAAATTTATTACCAAATTAATGGACACCACCGACATAGATGTGACGGTGGAATACTCGATGTTGCACTACTCAGTTTAGCCAAAGATAAATTACTATCTCGACCTCCGGAGTGTGCTCACTTACACTCGGCAAACAATCACACACATCCAGAACTCTTCAATACCATCAGTAAATAAATAAATAATCAAATATATATACATATATTATAAACCACAATTCCAACCAACAACTCATCATCAACACGAAACATCCTCCAGTCAAAGAAATATAACCGTGTACCGTCTCCGTCAAGAATGATAATGTCTATCGACTCAACGGTCAACTTATTCATTTAGTCCATCAGCGAATCCCACAGAATGTCTACTGAGGGTATTAGATTATGGACACGTCAATATGACAACCCATGGTCAACAAATTTCCAAACAACCAAACAGTATGCAGATCATTCAGGCCATCCAATAAACACAATTATCTATATTCATATATACATACGCTAAAATATTTTTTCTCATTTTGCAACACATCCACCAATGTATAAAGGGATAAGTTATCTATGCAGTGTCGAACACGTGAAGAAAAGTAGGTCGAAAGTAAACTCACTACGAACTCCTGTAAACGGCCAATCAAGTAAAACCGACTTACCACACCACTAAAGTCCCAACATTACTATCCTGACATAAAATCCGAGTGCGATACAACACACAAACACAATCTCTACTCGATTAGCCAATAACTACTTTACACAAAATCACCAACACCGTTAATCACTCACGTCCCGTGTAAAAAGGAACAAGTAACACTAACTATCAATATACTCCACATGCGAATACTATCGTCTGAAACGAAAACTACAGATGTCTCGATGGAAATCTACCACAACTAACACTGTCTACACACTACTCACAAATACTCTCATCACCACAGTCATCCTATTCCCCACTCACACTCCCACATCTTAACTGCACAACACAACCAGTCAATGTTACACGAGCATTTTACAAGACAAAATGACGCATCTGCACAACTAACATCACCAATATCACTAACATACAACATACACGACAACAACACTCTCCAATAATCACTACATTATTTAGCTCCACATCTACACATGAAGCAATCAAAAACACATATTAGTCAGACGTCTCTCCACAAAACACTCACACCACACTCCTCTGTCGACAGAACAACAATTAGATAAACGACCAGCTAACAGTTGATGTCGGTGATACACCACCTCAAAAAAATACAGTTTCTCCAACCCAACCATTATTAAGCAAAACAAAACAATCAGCTACTATTCACATTGTCCACAAACCACACTCATCACAAATCTGTGGAAGATTAACACTCCTTTAATACACAATACAAACAAATCAACGTCAAACACAAATATCACCTTCATCATCCTCTATCCCTATCCCTCACTCTCTCTCTCTCTCTCTCTCTCCCAAACACACAACCTAAAGACTATCCACATTATGCAACACCACTTCAATTACTACGTGCAGATTGTACACAAAAATTCAACATATCATACACAAACACAACAAATGTGATATTCAATGAATGGACACCACTGACAGATAAGCAATAGTGGAATACTCGATGTTACACTACACAGTTTAGACAAAGATAAATTACTATCTCGACCTTCCGAGTGTGCTCACCAATAACAAACAATCAACAACACAAAACCACTCAGGCACATCCATATACACTTCACAAAGCACAGCATCAAATATTGTGATACCATATTCACACAACAAATTCAACAAACCACTACATCAAAATTATTACCAAATTAATGGACACCACCGACATAGATGTGACGGTGGAATACTCGATGTTGCACTACTCAGTTTAGCCAAAGATAAATTACTATCTCGACCTCCGGAGTGTGCTCACTTACACTCGGCAAACAATCACACACATCCAGAACTCTTCAATACCATCAGTAAATAAATAAATAATCAAATATATATACATATATTATAAACCACAATTCCAACCAACAACTCATCATCAACACGAAACATCCTCCAGTCAAAGAAATATAACCGTGTACCGTCTCCGTCAAGAATGATAATGTCTATCGACTCAACGGTCAACTTATTCATTTAGTCCATCAGCGAATCCCACAGAATGTCTACTGAGGGTATTAGATTATGGACACGTCAATATGACAACCCATGGTCAACAAATTTCCAAACAACCAAACAGTATGCAGATCATTCAGGCCATCCAATAAACACAATTATCTATATTCATATATACATACGCTAAAATATTTTTTCTCATTTTGCAACACATCCACCAATGTATAAAGGGATAAGTTATCTATGCAGTGTCGAACACGTGAAGAAAAGTAGGTCGAAAGTAAACTCACTACGAACTCCTGTAAACGGCCAATCAAGTAAAACCGACTTACCACACCACTAAAGTCCCAACATTACTATCCTGACATAAAATCCGAGTGCGATACAACACACAAACACAATCTCTACTCGATTAGCCAATAACTACTTTACACAAAATCACCAACACCGTTAATCACTCACGTCCCGTGTAAAAAGGAACAAGTAACACTAACTATCAATATACTCCACATGCGAATACTATCGTCTGAAACGAAAACTACAGATGTCTCGATGGAAATCTACCACAACTAACACTGTCTACACACTACTCACAAATACTCTCATCACCACAGTCATCCTATTCCCCACTCACACTCCCACATCTTAACTGCACAACACAACCAGTCAATGTTACACGAGCATTTTACAAGACAAAATGACGCATCTGCACAACTAACATCACCAATATCACTAACATACAACATACACGACAACAACACTCTCCAATAATCACTACATTATTTAGCTCCACATCTACACATGAAGCAATCAAAAACACATATTAGTCAGACGTCTCTCCACAAAACACTCACACCACACTCCTCTGTCGACAGAACAACAATTAGATAAACGACCAGCTAACAGTTGATGTCGGTGATACACCACCTCAAAAAAATACAGTTTCTCCAACCCAACCATTATTAAGCAAAACAAAACAATCAGCTACTATTCACATTGTCCACAAACCACACTCATCACAAATCTGTGGAAGATTAACACTCCTTTAATACACAATACAAACAAATCAACGTCAAACACAAATATCACCTTCATCATCCTCTATCCCTATCCCTCACTCTCTCTCTCTCTCTCCCAAACACACAACCTAAAGACTATCCAC